TGTAAAAACACACACGCAGTTTAACACACACACTATACGTTTGACTAAGCAGTATCGACAGACGATGATAAACGCTTTCTTGTGTGTCAGATAAAAAGTCAAATAAGGTAACTGGAGAACGGAGGAGAGGAGAAAAGTTTAATCAACAAGCTCTGCAAAAAGGAATGGGGAACTGCCAAGCATTTACGAAAATAATGGACTGGTTATCTTAAAGAACAGTAAGTAAAAGTTACCTAAAAATGTCTGAAGAAGGCCTACTTCATTATTATTATTATTATTATTATTATTATTATTATTATTATTATTATTGCTGTTGTTGTTGTTGTTGTTATTATTATTATTATTATTATTGATCATTAATGTTACTGATATTGTTATCATAATTATTGTTTTCATCATTATGATTTTTCATTTCATTATTAGGATATGTTATCATATTTTTTTCTATTATTATTATTATTACAGTCATTATCATTTTCATTCTTTTTTTAGCTTTGTTTCTTATATACTGAATAAAGCTTGCGTATCAGTATATACCATACCCTCATCAGTCTATCGATTAAGCACTTGTATACTTACCTACCTACACACACACATGCACACACACACACACACACACACACACACACACACACACACACACACACACACACACAAAGACAAAAAAAGGAAATCAGAGTGAGAGTGAGAAAAGTTTTTTTTTAAGTGAAAAGTGAATCAGCTGAAGATGAAACAGACACTTATGCTGCCTTTCACTCGGCAAAAACTTAATTACACTAACCATCACCTCACAAAATTTTACATCCTTAAATAGAATTCGTTGGTAAAATATGCCCTATACTAAAAAAAAAAGTGCATCGTTCTTAAAGGAATGTTAATATTGTGGGGATACACTTAGTGGAGAGTAAATATTATGGCTTGGAAATACGGAATCGATGGTAGAAAAAATACCTTACTGTACCGAATAGAGTAATGTGCCAGTTTGGAAGTATACACCTATTCGTCTGGTTATAGATATTGTATTAGATTCAATTTATATTAGCATTACATTCAATTACATATACTTTAATGAGAAATCCATGCATCTCACTTATGAATGTTGCATATTGAAGATGTTATCTGTCTCAGAACCATCTATCTTATCAGCAAACTTTATATAAATTCAGCTGATTCATCTTTTCGAGGTAACAAATTAACTGTTTGTCTAGATCCACAAATAATTAGGTAAATGAAGAAAATAATCGTATATAACAGGATATTTTTTGTTTTGATAGTTTTGTTTTGATGAGACGTATGTTTTCATATTGCATACTGTGGTATGAACGCAATGCCGTTCGCTTAAGGTTTCACATTAAAAAAACATGAATCATAAGTGTTTACCAATCTGACGAATTATTGCTTTAGTTATTGCTTATCTATTTACATATAATTTTGTTTCCCATGTTATCTGTCCGTCTGTCTCTCTCTCTCCATCTATCTGCCTGATTCTCCCTCTCCTTCCCTCGTGTCCACTCTTTCATACTATCTTTTTCTCCCTTCCTCCCTGTTTCTTTTTCTTTTTCTTCTTCTTCCTCCTCCTCCTCCTCCTCCTCCTCTCTCTCTCTCTCTCACTCTCACTCTCACTCTCACTCTCTCTCTCACTCTCACTCTCACTCTCACTCTCCCTCTCCCTCTCCCTCTCACTCTCTTCCTTCCCTCCGTTCCCTCCCTCCATCTCGCTTTCTCGTCAATCTTACTTCATTTCCACTTCTACAATAGAGCTCACACCTGCAGGAAATGTCCAATAGGCAATCTTCCTTTATTTGATCCTGGACAGACATTGCTTATTTTGTGAGAAGCTCCCAGCATGTATCAAGCTGTAACGTTTTTTACAAGAGGGTGTGATTGTGAGATGTGATGATAGTAACGATAATTATTATTTTGCTTGCGTTTTGTCCGTTTGTTCGCAATTTACGCTTGCACGTTGCGCCTGAAATCATATTCAACGTGACTACGGAGTTGAGGTCACTTCAGTTGCACAACCTAAATATTACAGAATGACATGGTGTTATTATTGTTATTATCATAATCATTATCATTATTATGATTATTACCATTATCATTATCACCACTACAGTTGTTACTATTATTATATTCATTATTACTATATTACAATTCTGATCATATTCCGTCCGTGCATTCGCAGATTATAACCAAGTCATCATATGAGTTCACAGCCCTGGGGTAGGTAGGCCGTCAGTTTCTGCACATTTATTATTTTGCACGACTATCCGACGGGGTTTATGAAGGAAGGTAGGAGGGGAAGAGGGAGAAGCAAGGGAGATGCCGAAGAAAAGGAAAGGGGGGAGATGGAGAAAGGGAGGGGAGGAGATAAGACACGAGGAAGATGGAGAAAGGGAGTGGAAGGTGAAAAGGAGGAGAGAAAGGAAGAGGATGAAGAAAGAAAGGGGAAGGCTTAAAGAGAAAAAGTGGGGGAGGAAGGGGCAGGGGTACAGTAAAG